ATATTATCATGATTATCATATAAATTTTCTTACTGATTAATATTTAATAATTATTATAATTATTATTTATTATTGAACTGCTTAGCATTAATGTTCAATAATTATTATTGTTATTTATTATTGAATTGCTTAGCATTAATATTCAATAATTATTATTATTATTATTTATTATTGAATTGCTTAGCATTAATATTTAATCATTATTATGATTATTTTATTATTGAACTGCTTAGTAAAATTTAAAGAAATTTGATAAATATTATTTGTAATTCATCTCCCTAAGTTTTATCTGACTAGTAGTTGCTAAAGTAGCCTAGGATGATAGACTTTTGTGATATGAATTATAATAAAAAATTTATCATTTATAGGATATTTTATATTTTATTTTATATTATTGCATTAGTCTTATAGCCACCAAATGACCTGGACTAATGACTTATAAAATAATATTAAGGAATTAGTCCTAAATAACATTAAGGAAATAATATTCATAATAGCACATATAATTAAGAGATTTAGATAATTCCAAAGGATAATCTAATTCAAATAATTATGTGATTTGGTAGGATGATACTGTTTTGGATATCCTTTGCAGTTTAGGGTTGTATACCCAAAGGTAACAATACTATTCCATACGGATAGTATCAGTCCTCCATAAATATTCTTGAGTAAACATTAGATATGTCAATATTTCACCGAAAGGTGTAATATAGATAATATCAATAGTTCATCAATTTTTGACAAACTCAAAGTATTAATGTTATTCTATATTTTTGCAGTGGTACTTTCGCATATACATTCATATACTTCTAGTGTCCCTGTACTCTTTAGATCAAATTATTCAGAATGGTTAGAGCATGTGCAATTCACACTAGATGTATTAGATCTTGATTTAGCATTACTTGTTGAAAAGCCTACAGACTTGACTGATGAAAGTACTATAGAATAAGTTAATGAAATGAAGGCTTGAGAAAGATCTGATAGACTTAGTTTAATATTCATAAGAATGACAATTGCAAATAACATAAAAGACTTCATTACCGATTGCAACTAGCACAAAGAAATATTTAAATATTATTGAAGACAGATTTAAATTATAAGTCATTGGCTGACACATTAATGAAAGAACTGACTACGGCTCAGTATGATGGCACTCGAGGAATTCAGGATCACATCCTCAATATGGCATGAATGTTGATAAGTCTTTTCTCGTGCAATTTATTCTCAATTCTCTTCTTTCTCAGTTTGGCCCATTCAAGATTCACTACAATACAAATAAAGATAAGTGAGACTTGAATGTGTTGACTAGCATGTGTGTTCAGGAAGAATTGATAATAAATAATAACTATAATAATTATTAAACATTAATCAGTAAGAAAACTCATATGATAATCATGATAACATATAAATCATGCATTCATGTGAAAAGTATACATTATTTCACAATTTCATATATATACATGTGAATAAGTAAATAAAATTTTAAAAATAATAATTAGATTTTAATTTTATTTACTACATGTATAATCAATAATTCATATGAGAAAACTATAAAGTAAACCATAATTTATAGTTTTTTTAAATCAAAATTAAATCCAATCAAATAATCAAAAATATAATTATGATTAAATTTAATCATAATTATAATAAATAATATTTATTAATTTTATAATTGAGAATATAAACTAAATTTCTTAATTTCATAATGATAAAAAAAATAAAAATATTTGATAGGATATAAATCGAAAATATACAATTTATTAAGGGTAAAATTGTAATTTGACAAAAATTAGACCCCGAGAGCAAAACCGAAAATATGTTGACAGAACGTAAACTGGAATTACGAAATTTGCAAGGGCAAAACTATAATTTTACAAAACTAGCCTCAAGGGCAAAATCATAATTATGCCAAAAACCCTAATCTGCCTTCGTCGCCGTCGCCTGCGCGAGCGACGCTGCCGCTACTGCCTGCGGCCACCGCCTGTGCGCAGTTGCCTGCGACATTTCCAGCCTACGCGCGGCGTGCGCGGTTGGCCGCGGTTGTTGCCAACGCACTGTCACAGACAAACTTCTAAACAAGATGTTTGATGTAATGCTTATGTATGTCCGTGTCTTTTGGCATGTTCATGCCTTGTACAGCATGTAGAGGGGCGGCCGAAGGCTTAATAGTCTCATTTTAGTTGGGTTGGTGGCCTCTTTAGGCTTGTAAATAAATGTTGTGTCATGTGGACACGTGCGAGAGATTTTCGATCTGTAATGGACCATTTTACCCTTTGTTGTGCAACTGTTCAGAGCTTGTAAAGTCTGTTTATAATTTGCATTGTCTATGAAGTGTTTTTCAGAGATGTTTGCTTGTGGATCCCGATTGAGGCGTTCTCTCTAACCCGTTCTCTCTTTTGTTGGTCCTAAGGGACAATGGGAGGCTTCGGGGAGGCTGACCTTTGTAGACGGACACGCAAGGGTGCCGCACGACTTAGGCAAAACCAGCTAAGTCCGTAACAGCACGGTCGTTGTCGTCGCGGGGCTGCCTCTGCCCACGCGCGGCTGCTGCGGCGGTTCCAACCTACGCTGTCGCTGCATGCTCGAGCGGTGCTGCGGCCTTTCATGCTTGTGGACGGCGCGCACGGCCGCTGCCGCCGCGGGGCTGCCTCTACGGCGGTTCCTGCCCGCGCGTGGCTGCTTACAGCGTGCGGCCACCGCTTGTGCACGACCTGCTCACGCACGGCCGCCACCTGGGCTGTCTGCCTGCATGTGACCGACCGTCGCATAGACGGGTTCTGGCCGTGTGCAACCGACCGTCGCATGGACGGGTTCTGTGATGCCCGTGTACGGGACGGGTTCTGTGATGCGCACGCTACCCGGCGTAGTCACAGATTCAGAGCTAGGTCGACGGTGACCATTGCTGCTTAACAATTCTTGGAAGATAAAGGTAATTTATGCATCATAAACAAATTTACAGATCTAATGCATTTGATCTCAAAAACCGAGCTCTGATACCAATTGTGAGCATAAAAATCTGTAATTATGCTATATCTGAAATGTGAAAATAACCTATATGCCAGGATTAAAATCAAGTGCATAGATCTGATTTAACGATGCGTACCTTTTGATGTCATCTGTTCAGAGATCTTGTTTGATCTGCTAAGCACCGTCTTTGATCCAAGATTGCTGCAGGCATCGTCTGCAAAGAGTGCAAGAAGTAAATCATTTCTCCTCTCTTCCTATCCTTTCACAGGACCTATTAAGATTGATGAATTTTTGGGGGAGAGGGTTTTGGGGAGAGAGTTAAGGAGAAAAACTAAAATCCCTCAATGGAGAGGTGCGTCTGCACGTGTATACGTGCTAACGTACCAACGCTCTCTCAGCCCCCTAGAGGTCCTGTCCTTTTATAGGCGAGAGCAGAGGGTCTACGATAAAATCTTAGGAGATTTTCTCCCATCAAGGTTATCTCCCGAGGAATCATTCCGTAAGTGGACTCTATTCTATTTACTAAAATATTTCAACAAAACCCAATTAATTATATTATATATCTTATCCAGGGCCACAGAAACCTAACAGTAACAAGAACATGTTTGCTGATTCAAAGCTTTGCGAACTCCACATCGCAGATCCACTAAAGCTAGAATCGAAAAGGAATCAACACACACACAAACAACACTACTAAGACAAAACAGGGAAAGGATTTTGCATCTTACATTCATAGGAGGACTCGCGAACTCCTCCACGATCTTTAGCATCGCTCTATCTGTATTCCGGATCGAAATAAGTAGGAAAAAAAAAAAAAGCAAAATTACTGATCGATCTGACCTAAGAAGCAAAAAAATTGAAACAATGCGTGGAGGAATTGAGTTTTACAATGACTGGTGGCATAGCCGGCGTGGGCGAGGAGGATCCCCCACGTGAATCCACCTCCCATCTCCGTCGAGGATCTCCTCTCCGTTCTCCGGAGGCGCCAGACGAGGGTTCGAGATCTGGATGAAGGGGAAGGGGTGGGAGAAGGGCGACGAGGGAGGAGGCTCCAAGCTGCAACGTAAGGAAGCTTTGCCTTGAGATTCGTGAGCTTACCGATGCATACGCAGAATGAGAAGGATGCAACTGTCTAATATCAAGTATCTTTTCTATTTGCAAATAATAATGTCGATTAAACTATATACCTCTCTGGTATTATTAATATCTTCTACAAATAATAATGTCGATTCAAAACAATATATTAAAAACATTTTTGTTATCTTTAGTAGACAATTGTTTAATTATTTCGGTGGCATATATATATATATATATATATCTGATTTAGCTAAGCTTTATTTTTTTATTATTAATCTAGATACAAGTACCAATATTACATTATGGTTTCTTCTAATATACTATATTTTTATCAAATATTCATGATAACTTTTATTACTTCAAATTTAACAATGTCTTGAATTTTTTTTATAATAATTTTCTGATTTATTTTACCAAGTCATTTTGCAAATTTTAGTACTATTTTAATAACACTAAATAAGACAGATTTTATAAAGCTAAACTAGTTTAGTGATAAATGATCCAGGAGGCAAACTAGTGACTAGAAGAGATGAACCAAATGAAAATGGAGGGTACAAAAAGATCACTTTCTAGAAACAAAACAAACCTTGATCTGAAGCAAAAGCCCAAACCAGGAACTTTGCCCGGTTCGACATCGAGAGAACAACAATCCCTGTCCACCAATCTGCGCAGAATGTACAACATAGCTTAGAATTAAGATCGGTTCATCAATTGCTCGACTAAATATAGTAGCTGCTAAAGACTAATATAGTCCAAGAAGTCTACCAGATGTTACAAAACTTGTGTGAAAAAAAGACTTTGCAGGCTGCTAAGACAAATCTTAAGGCAAACCCTGGACGACGCAATTGTGCGATCTTGGTGGCAGTAAGAGAATAGGAATAGATTCAGAACCCAATATGATCAAAATCTCCTCCAATAAACAAACACAAATAAAAAGAAAAGGATCAACCACAGTAGCAGAGTAATTAAATCACAAGCGATATTACCAAAAGTGAAACAAATGGACAATCATAACTATGGCAGCAAAGCTTACTGAGAAGTGGCTTGCAGACAAATTTTCTTGTACTTGGAGAGCAAATTGACCTCTAATATCCATGTTTTGGTTCGCTCTGATGTGAACAGTTCTGTATATCTCCATAAAAGTAAAGTTTAATGTGCTCTTTGAAAAGAAATGCAAGCAATGTTCCCACACTGTAGGCGAGGCCCGACCTGCCCTTGGGCTGCTCTTGACGGTTTATAGACCTAACTCTGTCATAAAGCAATTTATGGGATATAAAGGAGAATGGAAGGTTAGATCATCACAAATGTTGTAGTGAATACAATTGACAAACCAAGTCACAAATGGCTTGCAAACCCTACTTATATTAGCAATGCTCAAATAGGAAATCTTAAAATTGGGACAAAAGTACTAGTGAGTACACCTAGAGACTGATCACGACAGAATATAGTAGAAAACTCATGTTTTACATACATGTTGGGTGACACCCTATGATGTTTGTGTTAATTGTGAACCTGTTAACTAAGGTTGAGATTTTTGGAGTGAGGATATAGAATTGGTGAATGATGCAATCTGCCGCATGTAACAGTTGTAGATAATGGCTCGTGAATACTTCAAAGATCTGGCAATATTTCCAAGAATATGTGGGCTCAAATCTCCACCTTGTCAGACATGTCTTCACTCTTTTGGCTATGCTCCCCCCCAGAAATAATATTCATAAAAGTTTTCTTAGCCTTGCCAACAACATGAGAAGTTTTCCTTGCAGCCCCGGCTACCATGGGTTTCAGAGAAATATTGGGCAAATTTGCTCTTTCTTCTATCATTGCTGTATGTAAACACAATCAAGAAATTTATAGTTAGAAACAAATAAGCTCAAAGGAACATCTGCATCAGAATTTTCTTTTAATGAAATCAACTTACAAACAGTTTGGCACCTAGCTAAAGCACCAATCTGCCGGATTCCAGCTTCTGCGGCCTGCACAGCTTGTGCAGATTTGCTGATGCCATCAGATATTTCTTGGCTGGATCACCAAAAACATAAGCTGATACTTCTTTATTCTTAGATGCAAACACTTCATTATCTTTTTCTTAAGATTGGATTACTGATACACACACACACACACACACACACACATATATATATATATACATAACCGACCTAGACCCAAACCGGACATGGCTTTTACCACCTCTATATGTCAATAGACAATTTTTATGTGGAGTTGTGGACCACTGGAGTGGCCATGGATATATCAAATTGTTGTCCATAAATTACTGTTCCTATAAATTAGACTTCTTATATTTAATCTATACCTGAGGATTTTAGTGCACAAATCCTCAATGATTTCTTTGAGATGAAAAGGATGATAAAATAAAATAAAATTTCTAAATTATAACAAATTGAGAAGTTAAACTTCTCTGAACTCCAATTCTTGTGTCTGAAACTCTGGTATCAACTTAACTTGCCTTTTAGTAACAGAAATCAAATACAAACAAATATATCTGTCCACCATAATAACATTCTTACAATGGATCGATGAAAAGAATGCCTAGCTCTTTTGAAGAGCTGAAGCTGAAGCTGTACTCATCACTAGTTAATTCATGCAATTGCACAGAACAAGAATATCATTGCCTCCATACTAAAAATGTGGGTTTTCATGTTCCTTCAGAAGTGAATAACAAAAAGGAGCATGTCACAGATGGCCATACTTCTGCAAACTGTGAAGACAATCTGTAAAGAGGATAGATCACCTTATCTTATCTTTCTTTCTCAAATTAAACTAACTTGAATGTTAATGCATATATCTTTGTTCCTGCTATCTCCCCATTATTTCTATTTATATGCTTGCGTACCTTAAATCACTCAACTCCAGAGTAAGATCACTAATCTCCATGCCTGATAGTCTTATTGCAGCCATGGTACTAGGGAGCTCCTCTGTTGCAGTATCTGCTAATCTTGCTAGAGATGTTGCAGTTCTCCGCATTGCCTACAGAACCAGAAATAAAGGCCCATCACAAGATGCAACATGCTTTCGGAAAATCTAGACAAATTCTTGAATAAGCCTGGCTATCTAATTTTAACATGACAGTTGTATAAATACTTCATGGGTCCACATGAGGGACAGTTTGTTGGTGGCATCTGTGCACCAATTTTTTTCTGTTTTTGGTTGAAGGATGCGAATTGTTTGTATTTTCTTGAGCAAGAACTTAAACACTGGTCCATGTCTATAGAGTGTGTCAAATTGGTATATTTAGTTCCTATCAAAAGAATACATGAATAACGTTCAACGTGTCATGTACTGTGTTCTAATATAGGGCAGGTATTTGAATCCATGATCAACTTCAGTAATGTGTCAAAAGGACCTTATGACCCCTTCAACTCTCTCTGATTCTATTTTCTTTTGTCCTCCCTAACCCTCTTCTATCATCTATGCTCAAGCTGTGCAAAGCAATAGCAGCATGTATCCGCACAGCAGCAATCACCACTTCGTCAAACTGATACCTTTGTGCGTCTTCCTCTTATATAAGTCTACCAGGTCAATGACGCCACTCACCCTCATCGCCATTGAAAAGAACAGAAGCAAAAAACTACAGATGAGAGTTTCTTTTCCATTACTCCCACTTCCTCTTTCTATGGTCAGACAGCATGGATCAACTGACTCTAATCAATTCCAGTTGATTCAAAGTTTTTTCTCCCTAGTTCTGCTTGATTCCACCAAGCTTTTACCATTTCCAAATGTTAAGAGCAAAACAAAGAAAAGAGAAATTATCATTCACCAATTTGGATCTAGGTTGTCTGAATCAGACAAAGAATCAACTGATCCAATGACCCTTTACTTGAGTGTTTAACAACTTTTATCCAATAGTCCTACATCATTGGGTAAGACTAAATTCTGTTAATCATGCCCTTGTGAGAACAGGAATTTGAGTGGGATAATAATAAACTCTACATCATGATATGAGGGAAGAATAGATTGGTATGTGTCAGATAATTTCAGTTGTAAACCATTCAAACCTATACCTACATAAATAGTCCAAAAAAATATTTATTAATTTTTGTATCATTTTCATCCTTTAAAACAATTTAGAAATTGGAGTTCGAGATTTACATAATATTTTGAAATGATGATTCATGTCTAAAAACTTGAAGCACCATATCCAAAATATGCCAACAAACTTAGCAATTAAAAAAAAAAGCATACAAAATATTGATGATGATCTGACACAAGCATCTTAATCGAAGAGTTCATGTAACTTATCATAGTTGTTTTAGTATCTCTAGCATTTAACACATACCGAGGAGATCATGATAAATTGACTTACAAGAAGAGTTGGAATAGCTGCAACTACCAAGCTGGTAAATGCGACCGAGGTCTGAATCAGAAAAATAACAAAAAATAATAATTGTATCATCAGTATAACTCAATGAGGCAAGAATCAGAGAACATGCACAGTATCCGATAGACAAACGCTAGTTTTGTATCCACTAGCTTAATGATGAAACTTGCAGTTCAATATTTTTATAGTAGATCCAAGAGCAAATAGTTCTAAACTTTGAACACATAAACACAAAAGACAAGTAGAAGGTATGCAAATATTAAGATAATGCTATCAATATCGCTTAAGCAACGTCCATTGCCACCCATACATTACTGATATACCGGAAGATAACCAAAACATGTATGTTCCAGCGCAAAATATACAAAGCGTGATTCTGGATGAATGACAGTTTTGAAGTGATTAATTGTAGCACTCTTGGATTAATGGAATATAACAACAGCCATTGCTTGCTTTGGCTGGTGACCAATGCTCCTTGCCTGACCGACAACAACGATAACGAATGTTGCTTCTCATTCCTGTAGGTATAGCAGCCTGTACAGCTTGCCTAGCAATTGGAACAGTGGTTGCACACCGCATTTAGCCATCAACCAGAAATCTTGAGTGGCTAGTGACAATAACATCTACTATTTTAATTGCTAGGTTCACAACTCTAAATTTCTGAAATAAGAAATGCTAAGACAACAGATTTTGAATACCTCCACATATAGTGACGTTCAACTAATTAAAGAAAAGGGGGAAAACACGATGCCAAAATCAATTTCTAACATGACAAATACTGAGATAGCATATTTTGAATACCTCCATGCGTAGTGAGATTCTACATTGAATAAACGGCAAGATGTTGTAACGACAATAGGTAAAAGAATAAGAAATGAAGCCATAAGAAAGCATATCATTCTACCATGACATCATCTAATAACAACAACTGGAAACAAATAATAAGTCGTGCCTGTAGATTCAACAATAGGAAGAAAAACCGCATACCGTGCAAGCGATGAAAGCCAAAAGGAAGAACGCCTGATCCCCCAAGCTCATCCGGTATAACCCAAGTCCAGCGGTCAGAGCCGGGCTCCCGATCCCCACGCTAACCCCAGCCGATCCCGCTCCCCCTGCCTCGCGGCTCTCGGCTTCCCCGACCGCCACCTCGACCTCGGTCACCGCCTCCACCGCCGCTGCATCGGATCCCTTGGACGCGCAGCACTGCAGCGAGGGGAGGCTCCGATCGCGTAGGGTTCCGAAGCAGCAACGGGAGAAGAGAATTCGGGAGATCGGGTAAGATCTAGGGTTTCGAGGGATTGGACAGGGGTTTGGGGAGGCAATGAGAGGAGATTGCCGGAGGAGCATGGTGGCTTTGTACCGTGTGTCTTATGAAGGTGTATGTACTCGGCGGCGGCGGCGGCGGCGGCGGCGTTGGCGGAGGGCGAAGGAACCCACGGAAACTAACAGAGCAACGAGGACTTGTTAAGTCTTCTCTTCCTCTGTAGCCATTTGCTATTTCCATCTTTTTTAGGAATAGAAAAAAAATAAAACTATTTATATTTTGTTTCTGGAACTGATTTTTTTTTTTTACTTTATTTGGAGAGATCAGAGAGAATAAATTTGGATTCTTAAAACAAAATAAGATTATTTTACTTTATTTTTTTATTTTATTTTATATGTTAGTTTGTAATTTATTTTTATGACAAAAATAAAAAAATATTTTAAACGACCCACTAAAGTTTTTTTTTTTTTGTTTACTTGGACTAATAATGTTAGTTATAATGTGAGTGTGATGATAGAAGGATACTAATAATGCTAATAATGATAATGAAAGGGATGGTACGTAACAATTATCACAACGATATTGATGATGATAATAATAATAATAATAATAATAATAATAATAATAATAATAATAATAATAATAATAATAATGATAATGATAATAATAATAATTATCACAATAAATGAGTATGTACGAAGAGTCATCATCCTATAGCAATGATGACTATATTGAAGTTTATGTGATGATATCAACAATTACAATGATGATAGTACTATAGCATACCAACAACTTGTGTTAACAATATTGACAATGGCAAATGGAATGAAACTAATAACAATGGTGACATAAATCATGTGGAAACAATGCACCATATGTTAATTCCTCGACTTAGATTGGTGATGAAGTCAATAATCAAATCGGGTCGATATCAAATCAGGCAAGAGACCTCTTAAGGTTTAACCCAATATCTACATTAGAATGGTGGGTGCGGGTCGATTCTTTATATTCCAACCAATATGACCTAACTTAGAATGGGCTACATGTCAAAGTCAAGATATAGTATTTGTTTCTCTATCATGAAGTCACACATCAATAGTGTGTGTGTGTGTGATGATTATGATTTTAAGTTTTTGTGTGGTTCATATTGATTATAAGTAGGAGAACCATTAAGACATTGCCATGGAGAGTCTAGTGGTGTGTGGTATTTATAGAAAATTATCGCATGTCACGTTAGAAAGTTGGAGAAGGTTTGTGTGGCGTGACAAGTTACGTGCTTGATCCTCGTTGTATGTCTCGAATTTAGGTAGTATATAAAAGCTAAGCTAGGGATGATAATTTTAACTTGGATCCACCATGAACTCGAATTGATGGAGTTTAGCATAATGAGTCTGATTAGGCATCCATAATGAGTCTGATGACGAATGCCTTATTCACGCAATGACACCGTTTTGGTACCGGAAGAAAAACTATGAATAATTAAGATGCAAAGAATAAAAAAAAAAGATAATTCTAAACATATTGAGGTTAGCAAATACTATTTTACGATGGAATAAATAGGCTAATATGCCCTATTGTAATATGATAAGAGATTATTCCTCTAAGAACAAAAGGATTACATGTCTTATAATAGATTTAGAGGTTATACTTTTCCAATGTATCCATAAGGATCATGCTGCCACATTTTAGTTCGAGATGGCACACACATGCGATAATCCTTATGATAGAAAATCATAGTAAAGATAAATAGGGAATAATGATTCTATATTCGTTCTAATCTCCAATCAATCTATGATTTAAAGATCAATTATCATAAGAAAATATCTCTCTCAAATATGTATGAAGATATATTATCTCAATTAATGAAATCAATTCTTTACAGTAAATTTTTTATGGTATCAGAGCACTTTTACTTCAAGCAAGAAAAGCTTTCTTTTCTCCTTCTTCATATCTCTTTTTCATCGAAGCTCATTTATCTACTTAACAATAGTGATCTTTTTCCTTTTACCTACAACAACTACTGTCGTGGTAGCAACAATTACTTCCCCAATAAATTTTTTATTATTTACTATCTCATATGAAGTTAGATATATTTTTTTTATCTTTTTTAAAGAGGAACTCTCGGAGCATTCAAGATGTTTTGCTTGTACATGTTGCTCGAATCAAAATCTTGAGATATAAAAGATTTTTTTTGTGCTTGATTTTTTATCATTTAATTAACATCATCATCTAACTAATTCTACTTTAATTAAAGTAAATCTATACATATATTACACACATAGTTAAAATATAATCAGTATATATTTTGTAATTTATTTCGAGAGAGAAGACAAGCAAAAGACCGACATGAATTTTGTATTGGTCAAAGATGATATTATATTTCGTTAAATAAGATTAACTTTAGATATATATTGGGAGTGCAAGCATTTATACACACACACACACACACACACACACACACACATACACACACACATATATATAT